GACCTATTTGTCACTCCCAAGTAGCCAGAGCTTTTTAATTTTCCAAGGCAAGAAGGGCCCTCCCTGCCATGGAGGTGGTGGGACAGCTGGGCACTGTCCCGGCTCCGTCACATTCCCGAGGTTTTAGTGGATTAAAATTGATGTCACCGAAAGGCTTCGCCCCCTTCCTCCCTGCGAGTCGCACACGGTTCATTTCATGGATAGAAGGAATTACTCCACGGAAAAATGTCTTGGCTCCGGCCTCCCTAAAGCAGAGTTTTAGCTGGAAACCGTGCAGCGAAACTCCTAATCTCATTCCATCTATTTTCCACATCACCACTCTCCAGTTTCGAAGCAAGGAGGTAGTTTTTCCTACATGCAGATTTTTTCCAACGTTTCCATCTATTTTCCACATCACCACTCTCCTTCGAAGCAAGGAGGTAGTTTTTCCGACATGCAGATTTTTTCCAACGTTCAATATTAATTAAAAAGCATTACGAGGTGTTTCTTTTACCCAAAGCACTGGGTAACACGGGATCCAAGCAGCCCTGCGGGCACTCACCGAAGTTGGAGTCGTCGCCCAGCTCCTTTCCGTAACGGATCATGCTCTCCCCCAGGAGCCCCTCCGACTGCGGGTAGCCGGGGTTCTTCACCTGCCCGCGGATCTTGGACATGGTGTTGAGCATGGTCAGCTTGGCTCTGGAAGCTGCCACAGAAACAGCCCCGTTTGCCGTTACCCGCGCTGGCCGCTGCCGACTTCCCCACTGCTCCCAACGCCACGAGCCCTAGGAACGGTGCTCGCTACGGAAGGAGAGGTTGCTTTGCCAAGGCAGCAAGGAAAGCAGCTCCCCACAGGCTGCCAGCGAAGGCCAAGGTGCCTGGAGGGCTCTCCGAAGGAGCCGGCTAGAAACGAGCAGGACGGCCGGCTCCGGAGGGGGTGACACCCAGGGATGTCCCTGTTTCTGGACACTGCATGAAAACTGGTCCCCTTTGGCTCCTCTCTAGGTCTGAGGATAAAGGTGACTCGGTGTCTGACAGTGCAGAAACACAAGGGGCATCTTGATCCCCCGGCGAGGCCAGTAAGGGAGGAAAAGCAGTGGCACAAGGCAGCCCAGCCCATCTCCAAAAACCAGGGCACCTGGTGTGGAAAAGGGGCTGCCAGGTGACACCCCAAGGATGGAAGTTCTCGTGTGTCTCTCTGCCTTTTTCCCTGGGTGACCGGGGACAGAGGGACGAGGACGGGGCGGTCACCACTCACCTGGGTTCGGCTGGAGGTACTCGATGGTCCTGGTCAACACTTCTGTAACCGCCTTGCTGGTCAGATCCACTTTCTGCAGGAAAAACAAGCCGTGAAATTCAGCTCTGGAAAGGCCACGCGGGAGACACAGGGGGTTTGCAGAGATTTCTCTCATTCCCTACTCACCTTTTCCATTTCCTTGAAGTCATCGTCGAGCTTGGTCCCTTCAGCCCCTCCAACCTTCTCGCTGACCAGCTGTGGAAACAGAGCGAGGGAGGAGGAATCAGGCCCACGAGTGGCTGTTCCCTCCTTAGACCCATTCCCGTCTCCTGGTTTAGGTTAACGGGACCGTCAGTCGGCGCCGGTGTTGTGTGTCAGCTTCCACAGCAAAAACACACGTGGCTCTTTGATAAAGAGATTAAAAATCTCTTTATTAGGTGAAAAACAGCCCCAATAAAAATCCAAGTATTTCCTTGCTCGGCAGCATCCAACAAGACACCCTCAAAATCACTCCCTGGAAGAGCAGCTCGGCCCGCAGGCAGGTGGGATATTCCATACCCGGAGCGCTCTAAATCCCACACACAGCTCCGACTCCAACGCTTGCTGGAAAAAGCAAGCGAGAGTCTCCCGACTCCATTTGGAGACAGGCTGGGGTTCCACACACGGCAAAACGCAAGAAAACGGGGAATTCACAACACAAGAACTGAGGCCAGGCCTCCCAAAGGCCCCAAAATCACCTACAAAGACATCAAAAGGGGTTTAGGAAACAGCTGCCGACGCCGATCGCTCGACGCCGATCGCTCTGCTCCTGCAACGGGGCCGTTGCCAGGATTTCTCGTGTTTGGAGTCGAACTCCAGTTCTGCGGGAACAATACGGGTTTGTTTACTTCAGCATCAAATACTTGATTTTTATCGAGCGTTTCTTCCTCCGGCACCCTCCTGCTCTCCCGGGGATTCAAAATGCTTCCTTATTTCTTGGTGGAAGAGGGGGAAACAAAAGCCTGGGAAGGTCCCAATGGGATTTGCTCTCCTGGAGCTGCTTGCGGAGCTGCAAATGATCCAAGCTGGAAAAAAACGCTGGGTTTTGGGCCCTTGCTCGGGGTGGCAGCTCCGAGCTGCGGAGCGGGATTCCCATCCTGGTGCACTGCGGCTCCCGAACTGGAAAACTGACCCGAGCGCCTGCTCTGCCTCCCAGGTCCCACGAGGGGACGTTCAACGGAGCAAAAGGCATCGGCTCCCGGCTGCCATCCCGAAAAACTGCTCGTGCTGCAACCTCCGCAGCCAGGAAAGGGTTTCCTGATGGCTGGAGGGGCCGAATCCGCCGGCACGGAGGCTCCCGCTTTCCTTCCCGCACCCGGGAAGGCTCCAATTTTCCCATGCAGTTGCACTCCCCTTTTCCTCCACCCATCCGCCTGCAAATTCCCATCCTGGAAGGCTGCAATTCCCATGGTGGGGAGCCTGGCTCTATCCGCACTGGGATTTCGGAGGCCCAACGCTCTCCGGCAGCAGGAGGACGCGCTCACGGACTGATTTCATCCTCCTTTTTGACATCCAGGGAACGCAGCTGTGAGGGAATAGGAAGATTGAGGCTTTCTCGCCGCTGCTGCTAATTACAGCAGAGGCTTCGTCACAGCAGGAGAGGAGGAGGAGGAGGGACGCGCGCCGCCCGCGGCGGCTCCATCCCTGCCGCGCGCTCCCGAATCCGCCACGCTGGAAGAGCAACGGGCGCGGATTCCCCTGCGGCACCGGGACGCGAGCCAGGAGCTGCCCTCGCCGCCTCCCTGTTCATCCTGGAGCTCTCCCATCCCATCGGAGGCCGCGTTTCCAAGCGCCAGGGGGTGATTTTGGTGGAGGGACGCGCGCCGCCCGCGGCGGCTCCATCCCTGCCGCGCGCTCCCGAATCCGCCACGCTGGAAGAGCAACGGGCGCGGATTCCCCTGCGGCACCGGGACGCGAGCCAGGAGCTGCCCTCGCCGCCTCCCTGTTCATCCTGGAGCTCTCCCATCCCATCGGAGGCCGCGTTTCCAAGCGCCAGGGGGTGATTTTGGTGGCCCTGCTTGCGAATTCGGCGGCCCAAAGGGTCCCTTTTAGGCCAAGCACCAGGCGACAGAGCGGGGTGTTAGAGACCCAACCGCT